GTATCTCAAAATAATAAGAGCTATTTTTGACAAACCCACAGCCAATATCATACTGAATGCACAAAAACTGGAGGCATTCCCTTTGAAAACTGGCACAAGACAGGGATGCCCTCTCTCACCACTCCTGTTCAACATAGTGTTGGAAGTTCTGGCCATGGCAATCAGGCAAGAGAAAGAAATAAAGGGTATTCAGTTAGGAAAAGAAGTCAAATTGTCCCTGTTTGCAGATGACATGATTGTATATTTAGAAAACCCCATCGTCTCAGCCCAAAATCTCCTTAAGCTGATAAGCAACATCAGCAAAGTCTCAGGATACAAAATCAATGTGCAATGATCAGAAGCATTTTTATACACCAGTAACAGAAAAACAGAGCCAAATCATGAATGAACTTACATTCACAATTGCTTCAAAGAGAATAAAATACCTAGGAGTCCAACTTACAAGAGATATAAAGGACCTCTTCAAGGAGAACTACAAACCACTGCTCAGTGAAATAAAAGAGGACACAAACAAATGGAAGAACATACCATGCTCATGGATAGGAAGAATCAGTATCGTGAAAATGGCCATACTGCCCAAGGTAATTTATAGATTCAAAGCCATTCCCATCGAGCTACCAATGACTTTCTTCACAGAATTGGAAAAAACTGCTTTAAACTTCATATGGAACCAAAAAAGAGCCCACATTGCCAAGACAATCCTAAGTCAAAAGAACAACTGGAGGCATCACGCTACCTGACTTCAAACTGTACTACAAGGCTACAGTAACCAAAACTGCATGGTACTGGTACCAAAACAGACATATAGACCAATGGAACAGAACAGAGCCCTCAGAAATAATACCACACATCTACAGCCATCTGATCTTTGACAAACCTGACAAAAACAAGAAATGGAGAAAGGATTCCCTATTTAATAAATGGTGCTGGGAAAATTGGCTAGCTATAAGTAGAAAGCTGAAACTGGATCCTTTCCTTACTCCTTATACGAAAATTAATTCAAGATGGATTAGAGACTTAAATGTTAGACCTAATACCATAAAAACCCTAGAAGAAAACCTAAGTAGTACCATTCAGGACATAGGCATGGGCAAGGACTTCATGTCTAAAACACCAAAAGCAATGGCAACAAAAGCCAAAATTGACAAATGGGATCTAATTAAACTAAAGAGCTTCTGCACAGCAAAAGAAACTACCATCAGAGTGAACAGGCAGCCTACATAATGGGAGAAAATTTTTGCAATCTACGCATCTGACAAAGGGCTAATATTCAGAACCTACAAATAACTCAATCAAATTTACAAGAAAAAAAGCAACCCCATCAAAAAGTGGGCAAAGGATATGAACAGACGTTTCTCAAAAGAAGACATTCATACAGCCAACAGACACATGAAAAAATGCTTGTCATCACTGGCCATCAGAGAAATGCAAATCAAAACCACAATGAAATACTATCTCACACCAGTTAGAATGGCAATCATTCAAAAGTCAGGAAACAACAGGTGCTGGAGAGGATGTGGAGAAATAGGAACACTTTTACACTGTTGGTGGGATTGTAAACTGGTTCAACCATTGTGGAAAACAGTATCGCAATTCCTCAAGGATCTAGAACTAGAAGTACCATATGACCCAGCCATCCCATTACTGGGTATATACCCAAAGGATTATAAGTCATGGTGCTATAAAGACACATGCACACGTATGTTCATTGCGGCACTATTCACAATAGCAAAGACTTGGAATCAACCCAAATGTCCATCAGTGACAGACTGGATTAAGAAAATGTGGCACATATACACCATGGAATACTATGCAGCCATAAAAAAGGATGAGTTTGTGTCCTTTGTAGGGACATGGATGCAGCTGGAAACCATCATTCTCAGCAAACTATCGCAAGAACAGAAAACCAAACACCGCATGTTCTCACTCATAGGTCAGAATTGAACGAGATCACTTGGACTCGGGAAGGGGAACATCACACACTGGGGCCTATTATGGGGAGCGTGGAGGGGGGAGGGATGGCATTGGGAGTTATACCTGATGTAAATGATGAGTTGATGGGTGCTGACGAGTTGATGGGTGCAGCACACCAACATGGCACAAGTATACATATGTAACAAACCTGCACCTTGTGCACATGTACCCTAGAACTTAATGTATAACAAAAAAAAAAAAAAAAAGAAAAAAGTGTTAGGTGAACTAACAACCTGCAAACACCTGGGTCGAAAGACTATGGTCAAGATATCATAAAAACCATCTGTGTTCTGTGAGAAAAAGCTGCAAAGGAGTTTCTTTGGGAAATTAGAATATTCAACAGCACATACAGGGAGATTTAGGAAACTACATGCATACACAGCAAAAAGCTTGCTCAGACAAGACCTGCAAAGACACTATGCTTTTGGGCCTGATTGCTAGGCTCAGTACAAGCCTGGCTAAGTATTAAGGGAAAAGCCCAGCACAGAGCCAATCTGCAAAGACTGGGAGAGATGTTTGTCTGCTAGTTTTAACTCCTTTCAAAGAAATCTATGTCAAACTATTAAACACAAGCTAAGGAACACAGACTTCAGTGATGACACACAGAAGTAGTCGTCTTTGCAAAAATAGTTTGGAAATGTCACTAAACAGTAGACTGCTATAATCTTCAATAATAAGATAATAAAAATTAACTCTCAGGAAGGGGGGAGTATCTGATTTTCAGGGCCACCACATTATAATGTTCAAACATACAGTTTTCAACAACAAAAAGACAGCATACAAAGACACAGGAAAGTATGGCTCATTGAAAAGAAAATAATGAAATCCATCCCTGAAGAAGCAAAGACATTGGACTTACTATGCAAAGACTTTAAACAATTGTCTTACATAAGCCCAAAGAACTAAAAGAAAGCATGGACAAAGAACTAAAGGAAGAAACAGACATATGAACAAAATGAGAATATCAGTAAAGACATAGAAATTATAAAAAGGAACCAAAGATAAATTTTGGAGCTGAAAAGTACAGTAACTGAAATAAATTCACCAGAGGAGTTCAACAGTTGATCTGAACAGGGAGAAAAATCAACAAACTTGAAAAAAAGAAGGGCAACTGCAATAATCAAGTCTGAGGAACAAAAGAGAACACAGCCTAAGAAACTGGTGAGAGAGCATCAAACAGACCAACATGTACATTAAGAATATTTCAGAAGGAAAAGAAAGCAGTGAAAAAAATTGAATAAATAATAGCCAAAGATGTCCAAAATTTGATAAAAGACATAAATCTATGACTCCAAGAAACTCAACAAACTCCAAGTGGGATAAACTCAGAGACCCACACTGAGCCACGTTATAATCAAACTGTCAAAAGACAAAAGCTGAGCAAATCTGAAAAGCAATAAGAACTGACTCATCAAGAATGAGGAATCCTCAAATTTTATAACATTTAATATCTCATGAGAAACCATGGAGTCAGAAGGTAGTGGGATGACATATTTAAAGTGCTGAAAGAAAAATACTGTTACTAAAAATTCGTGTATCTGGCAAAAATAAGGGAGAAATCAAGACATTCTCAGATAAAACAAAAGCTGAGGGAGTTTATTACAATTAGACTTGCCCTGCAAGAAATGCATAAGGGAATCCTTTGGGCTGAAATGAAAGGGCACTAGACAGTAACTCAAATCTGTATATTGAAATAAAGATCCAAAATAAGATATATTGACAAATATAAAAGTCAGTATTACTGTCATACTGTTTTCTAACTCCACTTTTTATTTCCTAAATGATTTAAAAGACAAACTCATACAAATAACTATAAATTTTTTATTAGGCATCAAATACATAAACATGTAATTTGTGCCATCAATAACATAAGGGTGGCAGGGGCAGAGCTTTACAGGAGTAGAGATTTTGTATGCTATTGAAGGTAAATTGGTATCAGTTCAAATTAGATTGTTGTAAGTGTAGGATGTTAACTATAATCCCCATAGCAACCACAAATAAAATATCTAACAAATATACACAAAATGGAGTGAGAAGAGAATTAGATTAGTTCACTACAAAAAAAATAGAAAAGAAGGCCATAAAGAGGAAATGAGGGGCCAAAAAAGTATCTGACATATAGAAAAAGTGTTAAATGGTAGAAGAAAGTCCTTCCTTAATTACTTTAAATGTAAATGGATTAAATTTTCCAATCAAAAGGCAGAAATTGGCAGAATGGACCAAAAAAAAAAAAAAAACCAAGATAGTGATATACTGTCTACAAGAGAATACTACAGATCCAAAGACACAAGTACATGGAACACATAGATAAAGATACTCTGGGCCAGGCACGATGGCTCACGCCTATAATCCCAGCACTTTGGGAGGCCGAGGCGGGTGGATTGTGAGGTCAGGAGATTGAGACCATCCTGGCTAACACAGTGAAACCCCGTCTGTACTAAAAAAATATTTTAAAAAATTTAGCCGGGCATGGTGGCGGGCGCCTGTAGTCCCAGCTACTCGAGAGGCTGAGGCAGGAGAATGGTGTGAACCTGGGAGTTCGAGCTTGCAGTAAGCCGAGATTGTGCCACTGCACTCCAGCCTGGGTGACAAAGGGAGACTCCATCTCAACAACAACAACAAAAAAAGATACTCTGTGCAAACATTTTTTTAAAAAAAGAGAACTTTAACACATTATAAACCACCTTGACCTAAGAGACATATAGAACACTACAGTCAACAATAGCATGATACACATTTTGCTCAAGTGTACAAGGAACATTCTCCAGGACAGACCATCTATTAGGCCACACACCAATTCTCAAACTTAAAAACATTAAAATCATACTAAGTATCTTCTCTAATCACAATGGAATGAACTTGGAAATCAATAACAAAAAATAGTGGGAAATTCATAAACATGTAGAAATTAACACACTCAACCAGTGGATCAAAGAAGAAATCACAAGAGAAATAAAAGATGACATTATCTAGCAATTCCACTCAAGATGTATACCCAAGAGAACTTAGAAACAGGCAATCAAATATATACTTATATCAATGTTTATTGCAGCATTATTCACAATAGCCAAAAGGTAGAAATATCCCAGTGTTCATCAGAAGATAAACAACATGTGTACACATACAGTGGAATATTAGTCATAAAAACAAATGAAATTCTGATACATGCCACAACATGGATGAATCTTAAGGACTGCTTGAGGCCAGGAGCTCAAGACCAGCATGGGAAACATAGCAACACCACATCTCTGCAAAAAACAAAATCAGCCAGGTGCAGTGAACATGTGCCTGTAATCCTAGCTACTCAAGGAGGCTGAGGTGGGAGAACTGCTTGAGCCCAGGATTTTGAGGCTGCAATGAGCTATGATCACACCACTGCACTCTTACCTGAGTGACAGAATGAGACCTTGTCTCAAAGATAAAAACAAGCAGGTGAGGTTACCTGGGGCTGGGAGAGATACAGGAATGAGGTTATTGCTTAATAGTTACACAATTTCAGTTTGGGGTGATGAGAAAATTTTGGAAATAGTAGTAATAATTTCACAACATTGTGAATGTAATTAATGCCTCTGACTTGTAAATTTAAAATGTTTACAATGGCAAATTATATTATATATATCCTACCACAATAAAAAAAGCTTTAGATTATGCATGTTTAATTTTATTTCTGGGGGAAGATTTGCTTTACTTCTGGGGGAAAATTCACAAGAATTTTAAAGATACTCCTACAGAGTAAAAAGCATGATTGGATACATGTTTTTGAGCACCTGTACTTACAAGCTGATCATACATTTGCAGAGCTTTAGATCCTAAAATACACCCATCTACCATTCTACCAATATTCAAGTGTGTTTATCAAGACAGAAAAAGAACAGGTTTTAATAGCTATCTTCTAACAAGATAAAGAGAAGAAAAATATAAGATAGAGGCTCTTGTTAACCTTTTATTTTGAGAGGTTCTTTTGAGAGGTTATCTCAGCAAATAATCTAAACAAGTGAAGGATAGGATATCTATTACCTGTTGACAGTAGTAACATGACTATATAATCATAAGTGAAAAAGATCAAGGAAGTAGCTGAAAGCTGCTGCATGACAGACAGACCCCTAGACAATCTCCTTCCTGGACAGACCCCTCCAGGAAGGAGATTGGAAGCCTCTATTCTAGGAAATCTGACAAAACCAAAATATTCATGTGGAGGAGGGGACTCCCAAAAAAGCCCATTCAGATAACCCTAAAGACAACCCCTTGCCACAATCCCAAGGCTTTGAAGCTTTTTAGTCCCTCATTCAACCATAAGACAGCCAAAGATTACCAGATATCCTGGAAAAGCCTGAAATACAGACAAAAATAAATAAATAAATAAATACAGAAAGAAATTTGGAGGAAATAGATGTGCAAACAATTTTAAATGAAAAAAAAATACAAACACTATATTGAATACCCTTTATCTATGAGCAAATCCATAGATAAAGGCTTTTTGGTTATAAGAAAAGGAACTTTTACAAATCAAGAAGGGGTCTTTAAGATTTTTAAATACAATAGCAAAGAGTTGGAAGATCGACCTAAAGAGCTAAAACACAAAGATATTGGGGTCAAGGGAGGGAGGTAAGGAAATAGATACCCAGTGCTGGATATCCAGCATCCAAAAAATAGTTTGGAGAACAAAGCCACAGAGAATAAATCATCAACCAATGCTAAGTGTTTCCCAGAACTGACAGAAGTGAGTTACTACCTTGGAAGGGTTCACCTAAAACCCAATACAATGCATAAATACAGACCCACACCAAGGCACATCATCATTAAATTTATGAGAAACAGAAATCAAAATGGCACTGGATTTCTCCATACAACGAGGGAAACAAAGAAAATGGAGCAACAATATTTTTAACTCAATAAAATGGAAAATATGGAATCCAGAAAACAGCTGAGCACAGGAAAGAAGTTAGTCCCAAGATAGCTAGGAATTAGAGGGCAGATCTGAAGGTAATGATGGAATGAAGGTAATGGACAGGTTGAGAGTTGCCTTCAAGATTTAGGATAGTACTGTACCTTTTAACCTGAGCAACAGTATACCCAGGTGAGTATGGACCAAATTACATGCTTTTCTTAAGCATGTGTGATTATACCCCAGCTTTCCAATCCATGCTGCATGGATCAGCAACAACACTCATATCATATACCAAAGGTATTGTTTTGACCTAATCCTAAAATGTAGACTTTGATTCATCATGCTGTGAGCATCAAAAAAGTTTTCTTCTTCTAACCACATTTCCGCGACATCCAGTTACCCAGTATAATCCTGCCAGATACCTGTAGTGAGCCTTCTGTTTAGCAGAACTCACTCATAACCTTAGCCATGAACTTGCAAAATTGGCCTTTTAAACTCTCAGGGGGAGCTGAAGCCAGACTGTGACCCAAAGACTGTAACGTTTCCCTTGAAGCCTTCATGCAATAATAGTAATACTGCCCTTTTATACTTGCTAACAGGTTTTTCAAAATTAAATATATTGTTGAAGAATATATGTAGGCAGTAAACTAAAAGAAATGCAAAGGAATGATTAACAAGTCAAGATGATGTTTACATTTAAAACGGAAAGAGATACAATTGCAGATACACCAGAATCTTCTGAGATCTTATTAAATGTTTTATTTCTGAACATTCTTAGATATTATTACTAAATGTTCGATTTCTTAACCTGATAGTGGGTACATGAATGTTTATTTTATTATTCTGTAAATCATATATTATTGTGCTTATGAATTGTTTCTCAATTTACAAAAAATCACCCCAACTATTCCCCTTGCTCAGGTTCCATGCTCATTAAAGAACATTCTGGTGATGCTCTGACTTCTATTGTAGCTTTACCTCCAATAAGCAAATGGACATCGGACCATTTGGCATGTGTAATTCTCTTTTTAGAGTAATAAACTGGTGTACAAGTTTTATTTTACAAAAAAGTATTAAAACAATGAATGTTTAGGTCACTTAATTACTATGTTCTTATAAATGAAATTAAATTGGTCTCAAAATATATCCTCTTAGAGCCAATAATCTTCTGCAACTAACCAAATTCATTCTCAGAATCAAGACCTTTTCGACGCTTCAATTTCCTTCCATATTGCAGCTTCAATTTTTGAAGTATCATATTCCCTCATCATATCAAATTCAAGCCATGGCTGACTCCACTTCTGAGCTTCTTCCATTTGCTCTTCAGTTAAACAAAGATCAAATCTGATTCCTTTAATATCAAAATTTGGACGTTCCCAGCGTTTAGACCAGGGCTTAGGCTTCATTTTCACTTTCAGCTAAGGAAGATTAAAAAAAAAAAAAAAAAAAAGGAATAATTAGGCTGATAGGCATAAGCAAAAATTCTTCTGAAGTTTTCATTAAGATGATTCTTTCTTATTTTATACTTGAACTTCTAGTTTCAAATGTATAACCCATACCTCATTAACAGGAACTTTCTGGGTAGGCTCTTGTGCTACTGGCTTCATATTCACATCAAAAGTGCTATATTCAGGAAGGGCATCTCGTAAGTACAGCAAGCTATCATCCAGCCGTTTCTCTAATTTGACCACTTCAATCTCGTGGACCCGAGGATTATAAAGTTCAAAGCAAATCTCAACACCTAAATAGAAAATAAAATACATTCTTACAATCTAAGTCCACATTCCTATACATGTTTCATACTACAGTAAAAGGGTTTCATAAAGGAATTAGCACAAAGTTTTGCATGTAGCAAATGTGCCGTTAATTTGAAATGTTTAAGATAAAGATTACTGAAAGAAATAGAAATAAGCTAAAATCCATTTAAATATAAAGTGAGAAAGTCTGAATTGGAATGATAGTCTAAAAAAGAAAAAATGGCTTCTAGAAATATGTTGAGTCACATATCTCTTAATTCTCATAGTAGTAACATCAGAGAAAGTCTGAATTTTTCCCTATGTCATGTTTTTATCTCCCAATTACTTGAAGAAAAATCAATCTTCCATGTTAAGAGTAATAAGATTAATGGTGCAAAAGAAGTAAAATATTAAGTTCCAACTTTGGTTAGAAGCTCCTTTGATTAAGGATTAGTGGATTAAAGGGCTAGAGAGAACTAGTTTTGCTTTTTCCCTTTCACCTTTCACCATGTGAGGGCACAGTGCTTGGCCCTTCCAGAGCACACAGCAACAAGGCACCATCTTGGATGCAGGGAAGGAGGCCTCACCAAATACCAAACCTGCCAGCACCTTGAACTTAGATTTCCCAGCCTCCCGAACTGTGAGAAATAAATTTGTTCTTTCTAAATTACCCAGCCTGTAGCATTTGGTTATAACAGCACAAACAGAATAAGACACCAGAAATGTAAACCAGAGACCTGTAGCATTTTGTTATAACAGCGCAAACAGAATAAGACACCAGAAATGTAAACCAGAGACTGCACAAATGCAAGCAGATGATGGTGACATGGATGAGGGTGACAGCAATGTAGAGGGAAGAACAGACAAAACTGTGATATATTTTTTGGAGATTGTGCCAAGAAAACTTGATTGACTGCATGTGTGAAAGTAAGTGGGTAGGCAGTGGTACCATTTATGGAAATAGAAAAGACTGTGAATGGAACACCATGCAAGGGGAAATAAAGGGTTCTGCTTTCAACTTATGCTGGTAAGACATCCAAATAGAGTGTTGATCAGATAGTTGCAAATGCAAATCTGGAACTTAAAAAGGGTCAGTCCTGGAGTTATAAATTTGGAAGTTATCATTATAAAGATGGTATACAAGCCATTGGACAAGAAGGAAACACTAATGCAGGAAGTAGTCATGGGGAAGGTTGAGGCAGGTTACAACAGTCAGACATACTATAGAGAACGGCAAGAGGGAGCTAATCCTTTTGGAGTATTCTGTGTCCAGTACTTCAAATTCAGTATCTCACAGTTGATTGGCTAGAACCATGTGAGGAAAAACTATTACTATCTCAATGCTTAAAGAAAATCAAATGACTCACTCCTATGCTCATTTACTTCTATTACAAGGCTTCTCCAAGTATTTGACCTGATTTAAGGCACAAATCAATTAAGTCCTGCTGAATTCCTACACGCACAGCCCACCAGGTCATTACAGACAGCAACTGCTTTCACATTTTCAATTTCTTTGAAAACAAGAATACTTGTTGTTGGAACTTCATGAAGCATTCAACTTGATAAACTTAACTGTTCCTGCCATTTTAATTAATAATCTTGCTAGAGTTTTACTACTTGTTCCTCTGCCTATAAGGCATAGTATACAAACACAATTTTGCCTTTTTAAAATTCCTCCCAAGTCATATAAGACAGTGATATTCATTTTAGGAGCAAGTAATTCATGAAGACATTATATGTTTGTCTTAAAGTTTTACTCATGGGTTATTTGCTCCTAAAACGAATATCCCCATACTGCTTTATAGTGATTTATTCCCCCCTTTGATGTTGCCATGGTTTGCAAAGTCTATTTCTAATGACTGTTGCTCCAATAATATAAGAAGCTTTCAAGAGAAAGATGTCCATCAACCATATTTAATCATTAACATCAAATCTCAATCCATTCTAAAGCCAGAGGCTCCACATCTTCCCTCAGAGTCCCCTTTTACTTTCAAATTTCAGATTTCTTATCCCAGGATGGAGAAACAAAAAGGAATCCAGAGATAACATTTTCTAGACAATAAAAATGATGAAATAAAACTTACCTTGTCCTTCGATAACATTCCTAAGGATAAAAGTAGCTCCAAGGCCTCTTCCTGATCTCTGGATGCAAATCCCCAGAAACTGGCTGATTTTTCCACTGGCATATGGGTCAGCTGTAGTAACACGAAGAATACTTCCTACAAATTCAAAAGAGAAGTGAACTTTTTTTCCAGCACACTCAGCTGAAAAGTAAACTTTATATAAGATGCAGAGACAAACAAATAGCATTGCTAGATAACTTCTTCACTTCCTAAATCTTTTAATTTAGGAATAAATACTTCATATGAGCATAACCCAGATATGTAAAAAAAAAATCTTCTTTTGTTTTTTAAGAAAACTAACCATCCAATCACTAAGAAACTAACCACGCAATCACTAATAATAAAAGCATATAGCTCTTACTGACCAACATAGAACTCTGGGATGTGGAGTACTTTTCTCCTTTCTAACATATCTTTTCTTTCTATTTGAAATTTCAGAGGATCTGTTCTTCCCCTTCGAGGAATGAATTCAGGACTCAAGAACCTGTGAAAAATACAAATAAATTAATTAATTAAAAGTAAACTTAAAAGGCTGCTAAAAGAAAAATTGCTGCTTTTCAAAGAAATTAAAGAATATGATATTGACGTGTTTTATTGTTCACTGTCTAAATAAAAGTCAATCTTATTTCTAAAATTGTTAATGCTCATGAAAACAGCTAACGATTCCTGAGTACTCACCTGGTATTTTGTTAAAAGCTTTGTGAAACATCTATTGCATAAATTAATCCTTCTAGCAACTATGTGGGTTTGGTGTCATCTGCTTTTTACAGAGCAAGAAACTGAAGCTTGAAAAAAGTAAATAACTAACCCATTGCTACATTAGCTATAAATCTGTCAAGTCAAGATTTAAATGTAGGTATGTTTGTCAGTCTCCAAAGCCTATAACCATTACTACAGGTCTCACACTGAGCTATACATGCTACAATAAATTATGTCAGAAAAGACATCAACATATAAATTACTAATTATAAACTGACTTTTAAAATGATCTTCCTGATCAGAGAAGATGGCCCTGGAGATGGTGCTGAAGGGCCTGCGGCATCTGCAGGCTTGTTTGCTGTATCTGCTGGCCAAGACTGTAGACCAGTTTGAGTATGATGGTTGTGACAACTGTGACACCTATTGGTAGTCCTGGTGTCTCGTGGTTATTATCTTTCTGCCCTCCTGGTACAGCAGTATCCCTTGAAGAAATCCTGAGGCTTTGTAGTGCTCTTTGCTCCCTGCCATGCTTAATAATTCTTGCTTTTCCCCCTCCTCATCTGTTTTCTTCTGTTTACTGCTCTTCCTGTACCTTAGGCCAGTCCCGCATCCCTGCATTTCACATTCTCCTAACTGGAGACCCTTGGGCCTTAGGCGACTGCTGGGTCCTAGTCTGCCTTGTTTGTGCCTCTGTAGGAGGGAAGTCCTTGCTTTTCTCCTCTGGCCTAGTAGGGGACCTTGGGTAATGTCCCATTTTTGGCCAAGATGAGGTATTTGTTTTAGAATAAAAAATTCACCATAAATTCTCATTTACTTAAATTTCCACAGAAATCCTGTTCGTGTCCCCATTTTGATTTCCCTAAGTTGCTGGTTCTCCCTCTGTAAAAAGAGAATGATTAGACCCTGCCTGTTTACCTCAGGATTGTTGTGATTGTAGAAATGAAGCTATGTGAAAACTGTGTAAATCTTATAAAGGTGAAATCCTTTTGCTTAAAAAATAATAATCTTCCTTTTTTTCTTCTTTAACTGATTTTAAGCTCATTAGAAATATTTACTCTACATAAAAAGTATAAATGACAGTACAATGAATATTCATGTCTCTACCACCCACCTCAAGAAATAAATTATCAATATTGTGGAAGCCCCAGTGTATCCCTTCCTACTCTGTAGAGTTAATTACTATCCTAAATTTGGTGATTATTCCCATGAATTTCTTTCTCTTCCTCAATTTTCTACTTTGAAAATTTTAAAGCCTACCAAAAAAATAATACAATGAACAACTGTAGATCTTTCATCTACTTTTACTAACTGCTAAAATTCTGCTGTATTTGCTTTATATATACATATCATTTTTTTCTGAACCATTTGACAAAGGTGTGGTGGCTTACATCTGTTATCCCAACACTTGAGAGGCCGAGGAGGGTAGATCATTTGAGCCCAGGAGTTCCAGACCAGGCTAGGCAACATAGTGAGACCTCATTTTCCAACAAAAAAAATGTTAAAAATAGCCAGGCATGGTGGCGGGCACCTGTAGTCCCAGCCACTTGGGAGAATGAGTAGGGAGGGGCCTAGGAGTAGGAGGCTGCAGAGCCAAGATCATGCCACTGCACTCCAGACTGGGTGACAAAAGCAAGGCTCTGTCTCAAAAAAATGGAACAGCAAGGCATTTCATTCCTCAATAATTTAGAAGGCTTATGCTAAGAATAAGGACTTGCTCCTATATTATCATGATACCCTTATGACACCTATAAAAGTTAGCATTAATTTGATAACATAATCTAATACAGAGGTATTGAATCTTCTGGCTTCCCTGGGACACACCGGAGGAATTATCTTGAGCCACACATAAAAGACACTAACAATAGCTGGTAAGCTTAAAAAAAAAAAAAGTCACAAAAAAATCTCATAATGTTTTAAGAAAGTTTATAAATTTGTGTTGGGCCACATTTAAAGCTGTCCTGGGCTGCGGGTTGGACAAGCGTGGTCTAATATAGGGTTCATACTCAAATGTATGTCAATATCCTGGGAAGGTATTTTACATCTATTTGTTGCCCAATTCAAAATACAATCAAGCTTCACACATCATATTTGGTCGTTAGTCTCTCAAACTAAGACTTTTCCCCATCTTTGTATTTTTATAACATTAACTTTTTTGAACAGTCAAGGCCTACTATCTTATCCCTAGATTCTGGATTGTTTCCACAGGCCTAGACTAAGGTTAAATAATTTTAGTAAGAATATCACAGAGATGATGACGTGAACAACTTATTCTGTCACATCAGGAGACACATAATATCAGCCGGTACCACTACTGGTAAAGTTATGTTTGACTGTTTGGCGAAGTTTCAGAAGGTCCCCCTTAAATTTCTTTTTACTTTACATATGCATGTATGTCTGGGCAACATATACTATTGTTTAGTATAGTTTTGTTTCTGTTTTTTCTGAGACGGAGTCTTGCTCTGTCAACCAGGCTGGAGTGCAGTGGCACGATCTCAGCTCACTGCAACCTCCGCATCCTGGGTTAAAGCAGTTCTCCTGCCTCAGCCTCCTGAGTAGCTGGGATTATAGGTGCATGCCACCACGTCTGTTTTTTTTTTTTTTTTTTTTTTTTTTTATTTTTAGTAGAGTCGGGGGGTTCACTATGTTGGCCAGGCTGGTCTCGAACACCTGACTTCGTGATCTGCCCTCCTTGACCTCCCAAAGTGCTGGGATTACAGGTGTGAGCCACTGCACCTGGCCTATAGTTTTAAACTTCATAAAAATAGCATCCTACTACATTAATGATTCTAAAGGTTTTTTCCCACACATATTTGTGAAAATCATCCATGTTTAAAAGTTAGTTCTAGTTCATTCACTTTTCACTGCTGTACAATAAATATTCTGTCATATGAATGCATTTGCCTATTCACCTACTGTTGGTTATCTATTCTGCCTCTAAATTTTTGTTATAAAAAATACTTACATTCATTCTTGTACTTGTCTCCTTGTACATACATGTAAGAGTTTAGGTTGTGTGCTTTCTGAGTGAGAAGGTATACACAACTTAAACTTACTAAATTCTGTCAAATTGTTCTCCAGAACATATCATTTACATTCCTGTTTAAGTGAATTCTATTAAATGCCACCCTTTAAGAGATATTCCATTAATACCTTCAAAAAAAAAGTTTTATAAGGACATATTTTCTGAATTTCTAGGTTATCTAACTCCAAGTTTACTTCTATTTAAATCCGTGGAATATTTTAAATGTTAAAAATAAAATAAAATAAAAAGGGCAGGCGTGGTGCCTGTAGTTCCAGCTACTCAGGAGGCTGAGGCGGGAGGATCACTTGAACCCAGGAGTTTTGAGGCTGCAGTGAGCTAAGATCACCACTGCACTCCAGGCTGGGTGACTGAACCACACTCTATCTCAAAAATTTAGGAAACAAAAAAAAAATCCCAGAGGTAAACCAATCAACAACCTACAGTCCTTTCAAGAAGCCTATAATCATAGCAGGTTTTTCCTCTGAAAACTGTTTTTTTAAAAAGGTTGTTACAAAGCTCTCTTTTCAGATCTTAAGTACTTTAAATTTACATGTACCTCCAAGATTACCACCATTCATTTTAGTTTTTATTCACACTGTTTTGATAAGTTTCAGACACACTTTAGAGGCAATTTTTACTGTGCCTTGTCTGCCAAAACTTCCAACCTAACCCACAACAAATTTTTTAAGTTGGCCAATCTATTCCTATCCAGGGTTGGGGTCTTTTGAGAGAAAAGAACGGCTCTTGGACGTAAACAGGTATAAACAGGATGTACCTCAGAGAAAAACTCTGGTATAGGACATATACCACAGAAGAGCTTAAAATATGGGGAATCCTTACTTGAAGTTCTGACTCAATAAAACTGCAAAGAAGTTCAATGCTGGCTTGGGGAGAAGCGAGGAAGACAGAACACTGTGGTGCACGGGTTCATGAATCCTACACACCAGCTCGTGCAGGTGAAGGTGCAGCCCCCACCTTAGAGCCAGTACCTCCAACGCGAACGCGCTCAAGCGCGCACCGACCCCAGTTGCCGGCCTGGCGCCAGGGCAGTGCCTCACCTGCGTTCCTGTTCCGCCGGGCGGCGCTTGTCCATGATGACCGGCTTCGGCGGCGGCTGGAACGCGCCGGGCTCGGAAGGCCCAGTGCTGTGCTGCCGGACAGGCCCCGCGTGGACCCCTGCGGGAGCGGACGACGAAGGTCAGGACTCTAGTGCCAGCCCTGAGATCCCGCAGAGCCCCACAATCTCCCCCAACCCGGTGTCCCACGGAGGACCAACTCTGGGGTTGCCTCTCATCTCCAGGCTCGCCTCCCCCATCCTGACCCTGGGCCCCTAACGCCCCCCAGCTCGCAAGTCCCGCTCCTCTTACTGCAGGCGAAAGAGGCCGGCGCGGGGAACAAAGTCCTGGCGGCTTGGAAACTCCGACCTAGGCCCATTGCAGCCCCGTGCCCCGCTGCAATGCAGGACGCCATGCCAGCTAGCTTACGTCAAGACTACAACTCCCAGTAATCAGCGCGACGAGGTTGTAGCTGCGTGCCACTAGATGGCGGCTGCTGTGGGACAAAATAGATAAGTCTCTCCCCCTGCTCCTTTCCTGATGTCTTGGGAAAAGAGCAAATTTCTCTAGTTCCCCATAAGGAGCTAAGTTACACCCCTCCACAGGGGTGTTCTCCCGGCCTAGAAAGCTCTTTCCTACCTCTCTGGATCAACTCTATCTTCTCAGGCAAGCTCTCGCTATGTGAAAATCCCGTTGTAGGCCTTCATTCCCACTAGATGCCTTTGTTGGCAGCTCTGATCTCATTTGCAGTTCTTTCTTTCTTGTGTAATTATTAGATTAGTATTTAAATCTGCTATTATACTATAATGAGGCAAGGGAAGGGAGAAAGTCTTCTTTTTTCTCACTGTTTTATCCCAGCACCTAGAACCTACCTGGGCCCTCACTCTTTGTTTTTATTTTGTTTTGTTTTGTTTTTCTGAGACAAGGTCTTTTTCTGTTGCCCAGGCTGGATGGAGTGCAGTGGCGGGATTATGGCTCTGCAGCCTCCAACTCCTGAGCTCAGGCTGTCCTCTCACCTTAGCCTCCAGAGTAGCTGAGACTACAGTCTTGCACCATCACGCCCAGCTGATTTTACGAATTCTTTGTTGAATGCACAGAAAGGAGAATAGAACAGTTCCTGACAGAACTGCTGGCCCGTAATCCTTGAGACTACAGAAAGCCTAAACCCTTTGAGGAACCCAAATGAATTTGGGCTGGGCAACAGTGGGTATGGATAGGTGGGAGAAGCAAAGCTGAAAAGTCTTGTTAAGAAATTTGGAAAATGACTGGGCGTGGCCAGGTATGCCTGTAATCCCAGCACTTTGGGAAACCGAGGCAGGAGGATCCCTTGAGTCCATGAGTTGGAAACCAGCCTGGGCAACATAGTGAGAACTTACCTCTGCAAAACAAACATAGCCAGGCACGGTGGCTCACGCCTTTAACCCCAGCATTTTGGGAGGCCAAGGTGGGCAGATCGCCTGAGGTCAGGAGTTTGAGACTAGCCTGGCCAACATGGTGAAACCCCGTTTCTACTAAAAAAAAAAAAAAAAAAAAAAATGTATCCTAGTTCGGTGGCAGGCTCCTGTAATCCCAGCTACTTGGGAGACTAAGGCAGGAGAATCTCTTGAACCCAGGAGGCAGCGGTTGCAGTGAGCTGAGATTGTGCCTTTGTACTCCAGCCTGGGCAACAAGAGTGAAACTCCATCTCAAAAAAAAAAGGAAAAAAAAAAAAAAAGGAAAGAAAAAGAGAAACAAACACACAAAAAAAGAAATTTGGAATTTGTTAGCAATGGTGACACAGTATAAGGATTGAACACTTAGAGTAATGTGATTATTTAACTACATATTAGTCATTTCAGTTGTATTAATGTCCCAAATTTACCTCAAATTCAGCATATCCATACTGAGTTCATCTTGTTCACCTCCAGACTTCCTTCCCAGTATTGGCTATCTCAGGGAATGACTTCAGCATCCACTCTCTTGCCTAAGCCAAAAATTTCAGTGCCAACCTTGATTCTTCCCTATCTCCCCTTGGATGAAGTTCCAAAAAGTATGCCTGGCACCATCAAATATTTCAGGAATCCATGTACCTTCTCATCTTTGCATCCATATTACCAGTCTAGGTCACCATTTTTTCCCCTCAGGATCCCTGGAGATCCCTGCAACAGCCTTCTCATTAGTCTTCCTTCCTGTAGTTACCTCCAGTCCTTGACACAGCAACCAAAAAAGATGGCACAGAAATGAATACCCTGTTCTTGGGTTTCCCCAGTTTAAAGCCTTACTGTTTACTTTTGACAGAAATCAAATGCTCAAAAAGCAATCAACCTCTGCAGCTTGGCCCCCATACTCCAGCTTGGCATCCTGAAAAACATGAGCTGTTACATCAGCCTGAGGAACAGGGCCATGTTTTGAGCACAGAACTCAGGGTGCTGTGAAGAAAGACAGGGCCTTGTATTTTAACTCTAGCTTCTTCGATTAGAACAAGAATTTATTCTATAAATGACAAGGAATCACACAACCAAAATTTCAGATGAGCAATATTTTGGCTCTTCTACCTACCCAGAAAAGTAGACTTCAAACTGTTAAGAGTAAAAGGGAGGAGAGGCAAAGATAATCATGACTGGCAGTGGTGAAGATTTTTCTGTATTAACCATGCCCAGAACACTCGGCCTTCACTCTTGCTAGGATTGGTGCTATGGGCAGGGGCAGAAAAATAAAAGACAGACCTTCACAGGAGGACGGCAGAATTTACTAGACATTGCCAAGCCATGCCTGCTGCCCTCCCCATTTCTACAGTTGAAGGAATAGTTGTGTAGAGTTTTACAAAACTGGAAGAATGAACCTAAAGAATCTTATTTAATTTTATCCTATATTCTTGCTCACCCAACATCCATCAGGCCATTTTGACCTTATCTTAATGTGGAGAACAAGCTGGAGTTTAAATTATTCCACCAAACAACTTCATAGAGCAAAATCAAAGAGCACAGAGCTGGCTCAACCATTTTGTGAGCTGATTACAGGAATAGAACTTTAATTATTTACTTCTGTGTTTTACACCCATGGAAAGGAGATCATGAACATCATTATATAATGTTCAGCCAAGGGAAGAAAGTATTCCAGGCAAACTGGCTGCTTCAGGTTATTGTGACATCAGGATCTTTGTCTGTTTTGCTCATTATTACATCCTCTAGTAGAATATCTGGCACCCAATAAATATTTCTAAGTAAAATTAGGTAGATCACTCTGATTGTACTTTAGAAAACGGATGAGAAGCAGGAAATTATTGTAATATTCCAAAAGAGAGAGGTGCTAACCTGGAACAGAAAAAAAAAAAATGGTTCTTAAAGTCATCTTAAAATCATCCCTAATAAGAGCCTTGACTAGCAACGTCAGCACAACCAGGGAACATGTTAAAAATACAAATTCTCAGGCCCCACCCCCAGACTTACTGAATTTAAAACTTTGGGCACAGAACCCAGTGATCTGTGCTTTAACAGATCCTCCAGGTGATTCTGATAGTTGTTCCAATTTGGGAACAATCGAGGTAGAGGCAATAGAAATAGAAAGTGTTATTTGTTTTTCTATATCTCCATCTATTTTTGAGGTAGGGTCAGTAAAAAAAAATTTCTGTAATGTACTAGCTGTGAGTCTTTGAGAGAGGTTCCCATCTCTGCTTTTGCTTCTTCATGAGTAATAGGATAGAGGTATACCTACCTCATTGAGTTGGTATAAGGATTAAATTGAGATAATGCATAAAGTTTGGGGATAAATATATAGATCATAATAAGTTATTTTTTTCCAACTTCATTGAGACATGATTGAAGATAAAATTTGTATATATTTAAGGTGTACAACATCATGATTTGATATATGTATGCAATGTGAAATGATTACCACGGTTGAGCTAATTAACATATCCTTCACCTAATTGAAAAAAAAAAAAAAGCTTTTTGTAAAACTTACTTTAAAGATGCCAGCAAGAGAAAACTATAATCTGATTCATCTGTTAAATAGATTAATTTCCAAAAAAAGAATCTCCTATACCTAGAAAACCCTAAAGGTGCTACCAAAAGACTCCTAGACCTGATAAACAACTTCAGTAAAGTTTCAGGATCCAAAATTAATATGCAAAAATCTGTAGTATGTCTAGTCTATACACCAACAATATTCAAGCTGAGAACCAAATCAAGAATGCAGTCCCATTTACAATAGCCACCAAAAACATAAAATACCTGGGAATACATCTAACCAAGGAGATGAAATCTCTACAACAAGAACTACAAAACACTGCTGAAATAAATTATAGATAAACAAATGGAAAAACATTCCATGCTCATGGATTGGAAGAATCAATGTCACTAAAATGTCCATACTGCCCAAAGTAATTTACATATTCAACAACATTACTATTAAATTACTGTCAGGAGAAAAAAACAATTCTAAAATTCATATGGAAACAAGAAAGAGTCCAAATAGCCAAAGAAATCCTGAGCAAAAAGAGTAAAGCAGGAGGAATGACATGATCTGACTTTACACTGTACTACAAGGCTACAGTCTCCAAAACAGTATGGCACTGGTACAAAAAGAAACAAATAGACCAATGGAACACAATAGAGAATCAACAAATAAAGCCACATACCTACAACCAACTAATCTTTAACAGAGTCTACAAAAATTAGCAGTGGGGAGATGGCATCGTATTCAATAAATTGTGCTGGGAAAACTGGCTGACTATATGCTGAAGAATGAGACTAGACTGCTACCTCTCACCACATACAAAAATTAACTCCAAATGGGTTAAAAACTTACATGTACGACCTCAAACTACAAAAATCCTAGAATAAAGCCTAGGGTGTACTCTTCTGGACATTCGCCTAGACATAGAATTTATGATTAAGTCTAAAAAGCAAATGCAGCAAAAAACAAAAATTGACAATTGAGATCTAAATAAAGAGCTTCTGCACAGCAAAATAAACTATCAACAGAGTAAACAGACATCTTACAGAATGGGAGAAAATATTTGTAAACTATGCATCTGAAAAATGTTTAATTCATATTCAGAATCCATAAGAAATTTACATAATTGAACAAGAAAAAAAAACACCCTTAAAAAGTGGGGAAAGGACATGAACAGACACGTCTCAAAAGAAGACCTATAAGCAGCCAACAAACATATAAAAAGAAAGCTCAACATTACTAACCATCAGACAAATCAAAGCCAAATGAGAAACCATTTTCGCACCAGTCAGAATGGCCATTATTAAAAAGTAAAAAAATAACAGATGTTGGCAAGACTGTGAAGAAAAGGAAACATTTACACAGTGTTGGTTAATAAATTAGTTAAGCCCCTGTGGAAAGTAGTCTGGAGATTTAAAATAACTAAAAATGGAATTACCGTTTGACCGAGGAGTTCCATTACTTCTACTGGCAGGGCACAGCAGCTCACGCCTGTAATCCCAGCACTTTGGGAGGCCGA